TGAAGACATACAGTGCCTTCGGAAAGTACTCAGACCTCTTGACTTTTTCCACATTTTGTTACATTACAGCCTTATTCTAAAATGGATTAAATAAAATAAAAATCCTCACTAATCTACACACAATACCCCATAATGACAAAGTGAAAACAGGTTTTTAGAATATTTTGCAAATGTACTAAAACCTAAAAACAGAAGTACCTTATTTACATAAGTATTGAGACCGTTTGCTATGAGACTCGAAATTGAGCTCAGGTGCATCCTGTTTCCATTGATCATCCTTGAGATGCTTCTACAACATGATTGTAGTCCACCTGTGGTAAATTAAATTGATTGGACATGATTTGGAAAGGCACACACCTGCCTATATAAGATCCCACAGTTGCTCAGCTCCATATAAAACAGTCAGTCTATGAAACAGCTCCATATAAAACAGTCAGTTTATGAAACAGCTTCATATATATAAAACAGTTAGTCTGTGAACCAGCCGCATATAAAACAGTCAGTCTATGAACCAGCCCCATATAAAACAGTCTATGAACCAGCTCCATATTAAACAGTCAGTCTATGAACCAGATCCATATAAAACAGTCAGTCTATGAACCAGATCCATATAAAACAGTCAGTCTATGAAGCAGCTCCATATAAAACAGTCAGTCTATGAACCAGCCCCATATAAAACAGTCAGTCTATGAACCAGCTCCATATAAAACAGTCAGTTTATGAACCAGTCCCATATAAAACAGTCAGTCTATGAACCAGCCCCATATTACATTTGACATTTTAGTCATTTAGCAGACGCTCTTATCCAGAGCGACTTACAGTTAGTGAGTGCATAAATTTTCCTACTGGCCCCCCGTGGGAAACGAACCCACAACCCTGGCGTTGCAAGCACCATGCTCTACCAGCTGAGCTACAGGGGACATATAAAACAGCTATACTTTGGATACAGTTATTAGTAGTATTCAGACACTTTCATCAACACCAGTCTAGCTGGATCGGCTGGTAGATTATATCAGTTCAGAATCAGATGGAACAAGAGAAGACCAGAACAGAGAGAGATATAAGTACATAGAGAGAAAGAGAGTGAGGATGCTGGGGGTGGAGCTTAGGCTCATATCTGAACTCTGATTCAGACTTAAGCAAACAAACGATGTATGAGAACACCCTAAGTCTCACCAACCCACTATATGCTTGTGTGTCTTTCCTCTGGCTGTGTTCCAATATATGTGGTGGGACTGGAGGCTATGGTTATTGTGTGTGTGTGTGTGTGTGAACGCCTGTATTTGCCTGCATGCCAGTGTCTCTCTCTCTACCCCTCTCTCCCTTTCCCTCAAGGTGCATACATACATACATACATGCATAGATACATACACTGAGTGTACAAAACATTAAGAACACCTTCCTAATATTGTGTTTAACCTGTCTCCTCTCCTTCATCTACTCTGATTGAAGTGGATTTAACAGGTGACATCAATAAGGTATCATAGCTTTCACCTGGTCAGTCTATGTAATGGAAAGAGCAGGTGTTCATAATGTTTTGTACACTCAATGTACATACAGTACATACACACAGTACCAGTCAAAAGTTTTAGAACACCTACTCATTCAAGGGTATTTCTGAATGTTTTACTATTTTCTACATTGTAGAATAATAGTGAAGACATCAAAACTATGAAATAACACATATGGAATCATGTAGTAACCAAAAAAGTTTTAAACAAATCAATATATATTTTATATTTGAGATTCTTCAAATAGCCACCCTTTGCCTTGATGACAGCTTTGCACACTCTTGGCATTCTCTCAACCAGCTTCACCTGGAATGCTTTTCCAACAGTCTTGAAGGAGTTCCCACATATGCTGTGCACTTGTTGTCTGCTTTTCCTTCACTCTGCCGTCCGACTCATCCCAAACCATATCAATTTGGTTGAGGTCGGGGGATCGTGGAGGCCAGGTCATCTGATGCAGCACTCCATCACTCTCCTTCTTGGTAAAATAGCCCTTACATAGCCCTTACACAGCCTGGAGGTGTGTTGGGTCATTGTCCTGTTGAAAAACAAATGATAGTCCCACTAAGCCCAAACCAGATGGGATGGCATATCGCTGCAGAATGCTGTGGTAGCCATGCTGGTTAAGTGTGCCTTGAATTCTAAATAAATCACAGACAGTGTCACCAGCAAAGCACCCCCACACCATCACACCTCCTCCTCCATGCTTTACGGTGGGAACTACACATGCAGAGATCATCCGTTCAACCACACCGTGTCTCACACAGCGGTTTGAACCAAAAATCTCAAATTTGGACTCCAAACTACAAATGTCCATTGCTCGTGTTTCTTGGCCCAAGCAGGTCTCTTCTTCTTATTGGTGTCCTTTAGTAGTGGTTTCTTTGAACAGTTGATGTTGAGATGTGTCTGTTACTTGAACTCTGTGAAGCATTTATTTGGGCTGCAATTTCTGAGGCTGGTAACTCTAATGAACTTGTCCTCTGCAGCAGAGGTAACTATGGGTCTTCCATTCCTGTGGTGGTCCTCATGAGTGCCAGTTTCATCATAGCGCTTGATGGTTTTTGCGACTGCACTTGAAGAAACTTTCAAAGTTCTTAAAATGTTCCGTATTGACTGACCTTCATGTCTTAAAGTAATGATGGACTGTCGTTTCTCTTTGCTTATTTGAGCTGTTCTTGCCATAATATGGACTTGGTCTTTTACCAAATAGGGCAATTTTTTTTATTTTACCTTTATTTAACTAGGTAAGTCAGTAAAGAACAAATTCGTATTTACAATGACGGCCTACACCGGCCAAACCCGGGCCAATTGTGCTCCGCCCTATTGGACTCCCAATCATGGCGGGTTGTGATACAGTCTGGAATCGAACCAGGGGGTCTGTAGTGAGCCTCGAGCACTGAGATGCAGTGCCTTAGACCACCGCGCCACTCGGGAGCAGTGGTATACCCCCACTACCTTGTCACAACACAACTGATTGGCTCAAATGCATTAAGAAGGAAATAAATTCCACAAATGAACTTTTAAGAAGGCACACCTGTTAATTGAAATGCACTCCAGGTGACTACCTCATGAAGCTGGTTGAGAGAATGCCAAGAGTGTGCAAAGCTGTCATCAAGGCAAAGGGTGGCTATTTGAAGAATCTCAAATATAAAATATATTTTGATTTTTGTAACACTTTTTTGGTTACTACATGATTCCATATGTGTTATTTCATAGTTTTGATGTCTTCACTATTATTCTAGAATGTAAAAAATAGTTAAAATAAAGAAAAACCCTGGAATGAGTAGGTGTTCTAAAACTTTTGACTGGTACTGTACATACATACATACATACATACATACATACATACATACAGTGCCTTCGGAAAGTATTCAGACCCCTTGACTTTTTCCACATTTTGTTACGTTACAGCCTTATTCTAAAATGGATTAAGTAAAACAATTTCCTCATCAATCTACACACAATACCCCATAAGGACAAACCGAAAACAGGTTTTTAGAAATGTTTGCTAATTTATTATAAACAAAAAACAGAAATACCTTATTTACATAAGTATTCAGACCCTTTGCTATGAGACTCGAAATTGAGCTCAGGTGCATCCTGTTTCCATTGATCATCCTTGAAATGTTTCTACAACTTGATTGGAGTCAACCTGTGGTAAATTCAATTGATTGGACATAATTTGGAAAGGCACACACCTGACTATATAAGGTCCCACAGTTGACAGTGCATATCAGAGCAAAAACCTAGCCATGAGGTCGAAGGAATTGTCCGTAGAGCTCAGAGACAGGATTGTGTCGAGGCACAGATCTGGGGAAGGGTACCAAAACATTTCTGCAGCATTGAAGGTCCCCAAGAACACAGTGGCCTCCATCATTCTTAAATGGACGAAGTTTGGAACCACCAAGACTCTTCCTAGAGCTGGCCGTCCGGACAAACTGAGCAATCGGGGGAGAAGGGCCTTTTTCAGGGAGCTGACCAAGAACCCGATGGTCATTCTGACAGAGCTCTAGAGTTCCTCTGTGGAGGTGGGAGAACCTTCCAGAAGGACAACCATCTCTGCAGCACTCCACCAATCAGGCCTTTATGGTAGAGTGGCCAGACGGAAGCCACTCCTCGATAAAAGGCACATGACAGCCCGCTTGGAGTTTGCCAAAAGGCACCTAAAGGACTCTCAGACCATGAGAAACAAGATTGAACTCTTTGGCCTGAATGCTAAGCGTCACGTCTGGAGGAAACCTGGTGAAGCATGGTGGTGGCAGCATCATGCTGTGGGGATGTTTTTCAGCGGCAGGGAAAAACATCCCTGCCGCTTAGGTCAGAGCGCTCAGGACCTAAGACTGGGGCGAAGGTTTACCTTCCAACAGGACAACGACCCTAAGCATACAGCCAAGACAACACAGGAGTGGCTTTGGGACAACTCTCTGAACTGAATGTCCTTGAGTGGCCCAGCCAGAGCCCAGACTTGAACACGATGGAGAGACCTGAAAATAGCTGTGCAGCGTCGCTCCCCATCCAATCTGACAGAGTTTGAGAGGATCTGCAGAGAAAAATGGGAGAAACTCCCCAAATAGAGGTGTGCCAAGCTTGTAGCTTCATACCCAAGAATATTCGAGGCTGTAATCACTGCCAAAGGTGCTTCAGCAAAGTACTGAGTAAAGGGTCTGAATACTTATGTAAATGTGATATTTCTGGGGGTTTTTTTTTTTATACATTTGCAAAAAAATCCAAAAACCTGTTTTTGCTTTGTCATTACGGGTTATTGTGTGTAGATTGATGAGGGGAAAAAAACGATTTAATCTATTTTAGAATAAGGCTGTAACCTAACAAAATGTGGAAAAAGCCAAGGGGTCTGAATACTTTCCGAATGCCCCCACACACATACACACACACACACATACACACACACATACATACGTACCGGTATCTTTTTTGCGTCTGTGTGTCTAACCCATCTCTCTCTCCGTCTCTCCCAGGTGCTGAGACCCAGCCATGCGGGGGTTAAAGTCAGCGGTGCGGGGGCCCGGGGGGTGCGGGGGTCCGTGTGTGTACGAAGCGGTGCCAGACGGGGGCTGGGGCTGGGCGGTGGCAGTGGCCTTCTTCTTCGTTGAGGTGTTTACCTTCGGGACCATCAAGTCTCTGGGGGTGTTCCTCCAGGACCTCATGACAGAGTTTGGAGAGAGCAACAGCAGAGTATCCTGGGTCATCGCAATCTGCATCTTCATCCTTACATTCACAGGTGGGTCATAGAGAGCATCTTCATCTTCACAGGTGGGTCAGAGAGAGCATCTTCATCTTCACAGGCCAGTAAAGCTGTGTGAACAGTATTTGGACACAGAATCTGTCCTACTCACTGAACCCCCTGTGTGTCAATCAACTACTTCATTAAATAGTGTATAAGGTAAATGAAAAACATGTCTGTACTCTGTAGTAAAACTAACGGTCCTCTCTCTCTCTCCTCTCTCTCTCTCCTCTCCTCTCCCTCTCTCTCTCTCCCTCTCTCTCTCTCCTCCTCTCTCCTCTCCTCTCTCGCTCCTCTCTCGCTCCTCTCCTCTCTCTCTCCTCTCTCTCCTATCCCACTCTCTCTCCTCTCTCTCTCCAGCCCCTCTGTCCACGGTGCTCAGTAACCGGTTCGGTTACCGTCCTGTAGTGATGTTGGGGGGTTTTCTGATCAGTGTGGGAACCATCAGCTCTGCCTTCGTCTCCTCCATCTACGAGATGTACGTCACCCTCGGCATCGTCTCGGGTAACTATCTAACCTACTTTACGCTCACACACACACACACACACACACACACACACACACACACACACACACACACACACACACCACTACTTCACGCTTCCTGCAATGGTCTATCTTGTGATACATATGTGGAATTCATTAGAAAAACCTTGAACATGTAAGGAGAATAATGATCTTTAGCTTTTACATTCATGCTTACAATTCCAGCTGAAAACATATGAATGAAACAAGGGACTCCTAGCAGTGCATGAGGCTGACTGATGTCTGTCTCTTTCAGACCTGGCTTATGTTTGTGGGATAAATAGAATAACCCCCAACCCCACTGTCAAAGCTGTATTCAATTCACATCTAAACATATCATTAAAACCTGTATTCTTATCAATGAAACCTGTGCTATCAATGAGGCCTAAACTCCCCCATCTTGAGTCTGTAGGACAGATTGACACAACAGAAAAGAACAATTCCCAAATTGTCCAAATAAACCAATATTTCCTTTCAGATCCGATCCAAATAACTTTTCTTTTACAGAACGAAGCACTGCTAGCTGTCCCAGTAAATAACTCGTCACCTTCCTTTAAAACAGACAGCAGCTAACTTAACGACCTCTGTCTTCTTTCTCCTTGTTTTTGTCTTTAACTGCGTCCTCTTTCAGTAGTCGTCACGACAACAAGCCTGAGAGTGACCTGTCAACCCTGACCTCTGACATCAGAGTGACCTGTCAACCCTGACCTCTGACCCATGACCTCTGACCCCTGACCTTGCTGCAGTGCCGGTGGCTGTCACGCCCCTCTGTGTGTCCTCTGCTGGACCAATGATGTGTATATATCTAAGACATGGATTGAAACGTGAAACCGTCAACAGCATTTTGCACAGTGACTGTATTCACTTTGTAAACTTGATTTGAAATGATCTTGATGAAAAGGTACTCCTGTGATGGTGTTTTAATGTTGTTTGGTTTGATGTCAGTCATGTGATTTCCAGATTGCGTGAACAATAACATCTGTTGTCATTTGTAATGTGTCCAGGTCTGGGGTACTGCCTGGCCTTCCTTCCCACTGTCACCCTGCTGTCTCAGTACTTCAACAGAAGGAGATCCCTGGTCACCGCCCTGGCCTCCTCAGGGGAGTCCTTTGCCATGTTTGCCTTTGCACCAGGTACGTTGCGGTTTCACGTGTGTACCAAATTGCACCCTATTCCCTATGTAGTGCACTACTTTTGACCAGGGCCCATATAGGGTGTAGGGTGCTATATAGGGAATAGGGTGCCATTTCAGATTCAGACTAATTCATCTCAAAAGGCAGATATTGTGTCTGGTACTGTTCTAAAAGTAAAATATTGTGGAGGAGCATAAAAAAACATGAGTTTTAAACGTTTCTAACAGTCATTTGAAAGTGGAAGGAGATTTAAAACCACATATCTCCTCTTCTCCTCTGCAGCCTTCATGGCCTTGAAGGAGGTAATCGGCTGGCGCCACTGCCTCATCGTCATCGGCATCATGCAGACCTCCGTGATTGGCTGCGGCGCTCTGCTTCGACCAATAATCATCAGGCCTAACCAGGAAGTGTCATTGGAGTTGTCCAATAAGAGGAAGCTGTCCGTTAAGCTGCAGACGGTCTACGAGCTGCAGAATGAGGATACCCAGACCAACGTTAGCTCCGGGGAGTCTGAGGAGTCAGGGGATTCTGGGGTCACCTCTCTGTCCGCATCAAGTGCTGACCTCCGGGCCACCACAGCCACACAGGACCCCTCTGAGACCTGGGCCCTCATGGAGGACCAGGGGGAGAAGAACCAGGGGGGACAGACAACCCTTGGAACCCCACTGAAGCAGCTGGAGGCTGGGGAGAAAGAGCAGGGTGAGGTGGGTCCCCTGGTCCAACCCGCCAGACCTAAACTCCTAGACTTCTCTGTGTTAAAAGATGGAGCGTTCATCTGCTACTCTCTGTTCGGCCTCTTCGCCACGCTGGGGTTCTTCGCCCCTTCGCTTTACATCATAGAGCTCAGTAAGAGCCGTGGCGTCCACACCGAAAAGGCTGCCTACATGCTCTCCGTAATGGCGGTGTCTGAGGTCTGCGGGCGCCTGTCCATCGGGGTCATTTTAAACAAGGTGCGGATGCGTAAGACCCAGGTGCTTCTGGGATGTGTAGTTCTGCTGTGTCTGGTGCTGTTAGTCTTCACCCTGGTGACTGAGTTCTGGGGCCTGGCAGCCTGCTGCTGTCTCTATGGCTTCCTGATGGGCACTGTGGGCTCTACACACATCCCCATGCTGGCAGAGGACGACGTGGTGGGCATAGAGAGGATGCCCTCGTCCGTGGGGGTCTATGTGTGTATACAGAGCTTTGCTGGGCTGGCCGGACCACCGCTGGGAGGTAAGAGACTCTAGCTGATTTACTTTGTCTGGATCTTAGTTCTCTCTCTCTCTCTCTCTCTCTCTCTCTCTCGAACTCTCTCTCTCGAACTGATCTAGAAGGTTTTGATTGCTACTGCACCAACCTGATGATCTTTAGGTGTCTCTGACGTTGCCTCCTGTGTGTTTTTCCCCCCAGGCCTGTTGGTGGATATGACCCAGAACTACGGCTCAGCCTTCTACTCCTGTGCTGTGGGAATGGGCCTGGGCGCCATCTTCCTTGCCATGGTGGGACCTGCCAAGTCCGGCCTCTGCCACCGCGGGAAGACGAGAAAACAGAAGGAGGAGAAAGAAGGAGAGGAGGAGAGGAGAGGAGGAGGAGAGGAGGAGGAGAGGAGAGGTGGAGAGGAGGAGGATAAGGTTTCTCAGGACAGTGGATCAACAGATTATCTAGACGTTGATCTGGTTATGGAGACCAGTCCGGCTAAATGGTCCCTAAAACAGGAGACCAACGCGGTCTGAACATGGTTGAATAGCTAAGACAGAACCACAACCAGGTCTCCTTTGGAAAACAAGTATTCTGAACTCAATGGGACTACCTGGTTAAATAAAGGTTAAATAAATAAAAATACATGACATTGTTTTGCCGACCAGCGCCAAACTGACCGACCAAGGAGGACCTTGACCACTAGATACTCACAGGTGGTTAAAATGGAGAAGAAACGCCAAACAAAGTAGCAAATAAGAGAACACACACTGTCAACATGTTACTGAGAGACTGAGTGCTGGACAAACACCTCTGTGCTACAGAATGTACACACACACAGCTTTGACCTGTTTGCCCTCTCAGATGTCATACGCATACACTTGCATTGCAGCGGAAAACTGTCTTAGGTGTATTCCTAATGACCAAGTCTCTCTCCTCAGAGAGTCAACCAAACTACATGCATGGCTGAGACACAGGCTTTTACCATTATTACTGCTCTGTCAGTAGTTATAACCATGATGTGACCTCTCTGTTCATAGTTATAACCATGATATGACCTCTGTTCAGTTATAACCATGATATGACCTCTCTGTTCATAGTTATAACCATGATATGACCTTTCTGTTCATAGTTATAACCATGATATGACCGCTCTGTTCAGTTGTAACCATGATATGACCTCTGTCTTTATATTGATTACTATTATTATGGTTGTATCTGAATGACAGTACTGTTATCCCAACACAATACTACCACAGTATTCTACACAGCCTGTACACAATGTTTTTCTCAACAGTCTACTTCATGTACCTATGTAATGTATAAATGTAATATACATTTATCAAATAAGGCTATAGGTGAAACTAAGATTTATGGATTACAGTGTGAATTACTAGTTGTTTCAGTTATGTGGATCACTACTTTACTTGTCAATCAATCAAACAAAGCTTTTATTTATATTGTGTTAACTTTTTTAAATTATAAAAATGCATTTGACGAAGTGCTTGCAGCAAGCAAAGTTGACAGTGACAAGACAAAACATCCTAGGTAGGTAGTGGTGGAGATTTGACTACAAAAGAGTTGATTCCTCGACTCCTTCATCATCGACTCCAAAACATCCTGGAGTCTCTCACCACTATATCGATCTTCCTCAGACTGGCCTAGATGCCCTACTCCAAGACCTCACTCAGACCTCCTCTAACACCAGATAGCAGATCAATGACTATGACCGCACTATGACTTCTGCTGTTATAAACACATTTATCAGTCAACTATATTTATTATTATTGATTACTTTCTTCTTTAGTTTTTAATTTTTTCATGGAGAGAAATGTAAAGCCCGTCTATGCTGTAACACTCACTGCTGATCATGTTTTTCAATTGATTAAATGTATTTTGTTTATAACAAATGAACATGTGTCCATGTATTCATTCTATTGAGGGAGGGAGGCATACAGTGTATTCGGAAAGTATTCAGACCCCTTGACTTTTTCCACATTTTGTTACGTTACAGCCTTATTCTAAAATTGATTAAATTGCTTTTTCCCCTCATCAATCTACACACAATACCCTATAAGGACAAAGCAAAAACAGGTTTTTAGAAATGTTTGCAAATGTATGAATTAAAACAAACAGAAATATCACATTTACATAACTATTCAGACCCTTTACTCAGTACTTAGTTGAAGCACCTTTGGCAGCGATTACAGCATCAAGTCTTTTTAGGTATGACACTACAAGCGTGGCACACCTGTATTTGGGGAGTTTCTCCCATTCTTCTCTGCAGATCCTCTCAAGCTCTATCAGGTTGGATGGGGAGCGTCGCTGACACAGCTATTTTCAGGTCTCTCTAGAGATTGGGTTCAAGTCCGGGCTCCGGCTGGGCCACTCAAGGCCATTCAGAGACTTGTCCCGAAGCCACTCCTGCGTTGTCTTGGCTGTGTGCTTAGGGTCGTTGAGCTGTTGGAAGGTGAATTTTGTTCCAGTCTGTGGTTCTGAGCACTCTGGAGCAGGTTTTCATCAAGGATCTCTCTGTACTTTAATCAGGATCGAGGGAAAGATGAACGGAGCAGTCTCTCAGTCCCTGCCGCTGAAAAACATCCCCACAGCATGATGCTGCCACCACCATGCTTCACCGTAGAGATGGTGCCAGGTTTCCTCTAGACGTGACGCTTGGCATTCAGGCCAAAGAGTTCAATCATGGTTTCATCAGACCAGAGAATCTTGTTTCTCGTGGTCTGAGAGTCTTTTAGGTGCCTTTTGGCAAACTCCAAGCGGGCTGTCATGTGCCTTTTACTGAGGAGTGGCTTCTACCATAAAGGCCTGATTGGTGTAGTGCTGCAGAGACGGTTGTCCTTCTGGAAGGTTCTCCCATCTCCACAGAGGAACTCTAGAGCTCTGTCAGAATGACCATCGGGTTCTTGGTCACCTCCCTGACCAAGGCCCTTCTCCCCCGATTGCTCAGTTTGTCTGGGCAGCCAGCTCTAGGAAGAGTCTTGGTGGTTCCAAACTTCGTCCATTTAAGAATGATGGAGGCCACTGTGTTCTTGGGGACCTTCAATGCTGCAGAAATGTTTTGGTACCCTTCCCCAGATCTGTGCCTAGACACAATCCTGTCTTGGAGCTCTACGGACAATTCCTTCGACCTCATGGCTTGGTTTTTGCTCTGACATGCACTGTCAACGGTGGGACCTTATATAGTCAGGTGTGTGCCTTTCCAAACCATGTCCAATCAATTGAATTTACCACAGTGGACTCCAAAGAAGCTGTAGAAACATCTCAAGGATGATCAATGAAAACAGGATGTACCAGAGCTCAATTTTGAGTCTCATAGCAAAGGGTCTGAATACTTATGTATTTCAGCTTTTTATTTAATACGTTTGCAAAAAATCTACAAACCTCTTTTCACTTTGTTTTTATGGGGTATTGTGTGTAGATTGATGAGGAAAATTTTTAATTTAATCTATTTTAGAATAAGGCTGTAACGTAACAAAATGTGGAAAAAGGGAAGGGGTCTGAATACTTTCTGAATGCACTGTACATACTTACTGGACTAGAGAAAGACATTGAGATAGAGAAAGTGATTTGAATTGAATTGAGAGAGGTCATTAATCATCAACATCAACACTGACACACATTAACCTTCAGCTTCACCCATATGGCACACACTCATACACACACACACACACACTCAATTTAATTAAATTCAAATCAAAGGTCTTTATTGGCATGGGAAACATAAGTTTAGATTGCCAAAGCAAGTGAAGTAGATAGTAAACAAAAGTGAAATAAACAATAAATATTAACAGTAAACATTACACTCAGAAGTTCCAAAAGAATAAAGACATTTCAAATGTCATATTATGTCTATATACAGTGTTGTAACAATGTGCAAATAGTTAAAGTACAAAAGGGAAAATAAATCAACATAAATATGGGTTGTATTTACAATGGTGTTTGATCTTCACTGGTTGCCCTTTTCTTGTGGCAACAGGTCACACATCTTGCTGCTGTGATGGCATTCTCTCCCTATCACCCTCTGACCCTCTCTCTCCTACAGTTGTCTACTGTACTGTGATAACTCCTGTGTTACACTGCCACCTAGCGTCTCCTCAGTAACATTACATCCTGATGTTGACCTATATGAGGCTTTGTTGCCTTGGTAACATTAGTTTCCATCACAGTGCTAAGCAAAGCAGCTCTTTCTGTCCCACATTGATGACATGTAGGTGAGTACTGTAGGAGTGCCGATCTAAGGATCAGGTCCTCCCTGTCCATAATAATAATTGTATTCGTTAAAAGGCTAAACTGATCATAGATCAGCACTCCTAGATAAGACACTTGATACATATGGCCACCATAAGTGTGATAAACCCATATCGGTGTCAGTCTCCTAGCAGTACAAATACAGTACATAGCTTTGTGTGTAAGATGTACAAGAAGTGCAAAACCCACAAGTAGAAGAACTACAAAACCCACAACCATCATATTGTATTTGTATGAGCTTTCTACAAACGCTGCAAAATGCAGGGATGTGATTGGCCACATAGACAATCAGGTACAACAGCCCAGAGACTAAATGCCAAGACACAGACAGTGTTAAATTACATTCCTGATCATTAGGTCTGAAAGCCAAGAATTCCTGATTAGTCAGGAAAAATCCCATCTCTGGTTGACTAGTGTGCGTCCAAAATGGCACCCTAATCCCTATATAGTCTACTACTTTTGACCAGAGTCCTATGGGCCCTGATCAAAAGTAGTGCACCATATAGGGATTAGGGTGCCATTTGGGATTTAGATTATTTAAAGCGTGGGGAAATAATCCACCAACAACAAAACACCCCTCAGTTGACTAGAACTCCCCTCTCCAATCTCCCATTCCACTGTACCCGCTCCTGTTCAGTAGACAACAAAACGGAAGAAAAAAACACTGAAACAGGGACCTGAACTTGTCCAATAAGAAATGCCTGTGTTCTTGTTCGGCTGCAAAGCGTTTTGCCACGGTGTGCACTAATGAACACGACCCTGCCGATGCTGATCTGGCTTTATCCTATTTAAATACTTGGACCAAACATGTGTTTGGATGGAAAGTAGTGGGCATAAAGTTCAGTACTGCATCATTCAATACTATAATCCTTCAGATGGCAAGCAAAGCAGGCAGTACTGTAGTTTATAAGTAGAGGAAGAAGGCAGTACTGTAGTTTAGACGTAGAGGAAGCAGACAGTACTGTAGTTTAGAAGTAGAGGAAGCAGGCAGTACTGTAGTTTAGTAGAGGATGCAGGCAGTACTGTAGTTTAGATGTAGAGGAAGCAGACAGAACTGTAGTTTAGAAGTAGAGGAAGCAGGCAGTACTGTAGTTTAGATGTAGAGGAAGCAGGCAGTACTGTAGTTTAGTAGAGGAAGCAGGCAGTAGTGTAGTTTAGACGTAGAGGAAGCAGGCAGAACTGTAGGTTAGGAGTAGAGGATGCAGACAGTACTGTAGTTTAGATGTAGAGGAAGCAG